GTAGCGAAAGTTCTCCTGACTAGAAGAGAGGAATCATGGAGGCCGGACACTCCCAGACAGCTGACAACACGACCAAGCTATTCTCATAAACACTGTGTTGGGACAAAACCAGACACAGAGACCAATGGGATCAAATTTAAGCCCAGAAATAAAACCACCCATATATGGTGAACTAACCGATGACAGAGGAGCAAAGAATAGACATTGGGAAAAACAGCCTCTTCCATAAACGATGCTGGGAAACTGGATTGCAACATGCAAAAGAATGGAACTAGACCACGACCTCACACCACACACAAACCAACTCCAGTGGAGGAAAGACTTGCATGGGAAACCTGGCACCACAGAATACACAGAACAGAACACAGGCCAACACTCCATAACACGATCCTCAGAAACGTCTTTGAGGAGTCATCTCCAGAAGCAAGGAGACCAGGGAGAATGTGGATAGATGGGGCTACAGCAAGCGACAGTCATCAACACAGAGACACCCGCTGCATGAGGGAAAATATCGGCACACCACACCGCATGACAGCGAAGGGACTGATATCAGAGATCTGCAAAGAGCTTACACGGCTCGACAAAAACAAACAACCCAGTCAAAGAAAATGCCAGAAGCAAAAAGACACTTTGCCAAAGAAGAAATGCCAATGGCCGGCAGGCACAGAAAAGATGTTCAGCATCACTGCTATCAGGGAAATGCAAATCAAAACCACAATGAGCTGCCACCTCACTCCACGGAGAAGGCGCCACATTGAAAAAGAGAAACTGGAAACAACACATGCTGGAGAAGGGGCGGAGAAAAAGGAGCCTCTGACACCGCCGGTGGGCGCGCAAACCGGTCCAGCCACTGTGGGCAGCTGTGTGGAGGGTCCTCAGATCACTGAAAATGGGTCTACACAGGATCCGGCGTTCCACTCCTAGGAATCCACCCAAGGGACAAAAAAACCCAGGAAACCCGAACTGCTGTGTTCAGTGCAGCCCTAGTTATAACAGCCGGGACGTGGAAACAACTCATGCCAGGAAACAGATGATGGATCAACACGCTGTGGTAGTTACACCACGGAATACTGCTCAGCAATCAGAAAAGACACAACCATGCCACTGGTGGCGATAGAGATGGAGCTGCCAGGGATGATGCTACCACAATAAGGCAGGAGAAAGATCAACATCAGGTGGTTTCACTGACATGCGGAAAATAGAGAAACGGAACAAAAGGGAGAGAACAAGACAACCCTAGCAGGCTGACCAAGACCTGAGGCTCCCAGCGGGGAGGGGAGGGAGGGGGGTGAACAGAGGGGAGGGAAGAGCCCAAGGGATTATGGTGATGGGGCTCGGGGGCTATTTTGGTGGGAGCACTTTGGGGACCACCCCTGAGGGGAGACACCAATCACTAAAAAAATGAGCAACATGCGAGAAAATAAAAAAAAAAAAATTGATGGTCTTTAAGGACAGGGAAGACCCGAAGACAATATAAATCAATAAATGCTCTAAAGGGGTCTCACCTGAGCACTGCTGCAGGCACTGCCGAGGCCTCCCCTCATCCGTTGTTCTAGATCTCAAGGAATTGTCTCTGGCCTGTGCAGCAAGTACGCCTGCTGTGTGGGAATTAGATAAATGCTATTTTTATTTTTAAAGATTTATTTATTGATAGAAGAACCGGGGTACAGGCCAGAGGTGCGGGGGTGAGAGGCGTCACCAGAGACAGAGCGGGGAGCAGAACTGGTGGATGGATTGAAATCCAGGGCTGAGGGGGTCAGCGGGGAGACGGGGAGGTCTGCTGCGCCCTGAGGGCTGCTCCTGACCCGCGGGGGTGGACCCGTCCTGCAGGGGCTGGCCAGAGCTGGGGATCTCCATCTGTACCCTCCCCCCACCCCCCAGGAAGCCCATGAATATGACCTGAAATGGTCCCCAGTTCTCACCCAGAAGCTGAGCACGATCTGAGCTGTAGGAGAGACGGCGCCGCCATGGGGATCACGATGGCGAGACCTCGCTCAGGGCAGCGACCTCCTGCCCCAGGACGGTGCGGGGGCTCCTGACTCCAGCTCCCCCTGCGCGGGCAGCAGCTGCCGCCCCGTTCCGGTGCCGCCCCTGGCCATGGCCTCTCCACCCGCCGGCCCTCAGCAGAGGCAGCACCGCTCAAGGCCCCACCCCGCCCAGAACCCCGGATATCCACTTGCTGCATCCCCAGGACTCCCCAAACCCTCTGAGCACGCCCTGGCCCTGGCCACACTCGCCGGGGGCTAGAGGGTCACCTGCACCCTCTGCTCGCACTAACAACCCCAGAAGCAGCCTGGGCGGAGGGGCGAGGTCACTTGTCAGGGAGGCTACCCCAATCTAGCCACAGGCAGACAGTGACCGCGCCCACAGCCAGGAAATGCAAAAAGGCAACCCTCCCCCCTAACCCCCGCTGTCACCTTAATGCCCGCAAGCCCTGGACAACCCGCATCCCTGATGGGTAAAAGCCCGCACCTGCCCCAGCTGACCTGAGAAACCCCAGGCTCAGCCCCCCAGGTGAGCCAGGTCCCAGCCACCCACTGTGAAGGCGCAAAAGTCACAATTTCAGAACCGTGGGTAGGGGCTGCCAGAAACCCCCTACACCCTCTACTCACTGTCTTCTCAGTATGTGCTTCACAACCAGCACAAGCCCTGGACAACCCGCATCCCTGAATGGAAAAGCCCACACCTGCGGGAAAAGCCCGCAAAGCTCCTTACTGCAGTATTTCTCGTCAGATATTTCTCCACAGAGGCCTGTCTTCTCGCCAGAATCTGCTTCCAAGGGTGTCACTTCTCAAATATTTCTCCTCAACACTCCTTACTACAGTATTTGCCCTCAGATTTTCTCTTCAGAGGCGTGTCTTCTCAGAACCTGCTTCCCAACGAGTCATTTCACCTCAGATATTTCTCAACAGTCCTTACTGCAGTATTTCTCCTCAGATTTTCTCCTCAGAGGCCTGTCTTCTCCTCAGAATGTGCTTCCCAAAGGGTCATTTATCATCAGATATCTCCTCTTAACTCCTAACTAGAGTATTTCTCCTCAGTTTTATCTCCTCAGAGGTCTGTCTTCTCAGTATTTGCTTTACAACGTGTCATTACTCCTTAGACACTTCTCCTCAATAATCCTTACTGCAGTATTTCTCCTCAGATTTCTCTCCACTAGGCCTGTCCTCTCCTCAGAATCTGCTTCCCAGGGTGTCATTTCTCCTCAGATATTTCTCCTCAACTGTCCTTACTACAATATTTCTCCTCAGATTTTCTCCTCAGAGACCTGTCTTCTCAGAATCTGCTTCCCAACGAGTCATTTCACCTCAGATATTTCTCAACAGTCCTTACTGCAGTATTTCTCCTCAGATTTTCTCCTCAGAGGCCTGTCTTTTCCACAGAATCTGCTTCCCAGGGTGGCATTTCTCCTCAGATATTTCTCCTCAACACTCTTTACTACAGTATTTCTCCTCAGACTTTCTCCTCAGAGGCCTGTCTTTTCCACAGAATCTACTTCCAAGGGGGTCATTTCTCCTCAGATATTCCTCCTCAACAGTCCTTACTGCAGTATTTCTCCTCAGAGGCCTGTCTTCTCCTCAGAATCTCTTCCCAGGGGGTCATTTCTCCTCAGATATTTCTCCTCAACAGTCCTTACTTCAGTATTTCTCCTCAGATTTTCTCCTCAGAGGCCTGTCTTCTCTTCAGAATATGCTTCCCAACGTGTCATTTCTCCTCAGATATTCCTCCTCTACAAGAATTATTACAGTATTTCTCCTCCCTTTTTTCTCCTCAGAGGCCTGTCTTCTCCTCAGAATCTCTTCCCAGGGGGTCATTTCTCCTCAGATATTTCTCCTCAACACTCCTTACTGCTGTATTTCTCCTCAGATTTTCTCCTCAGAGGCCTGTCTTCTCCTCAGAATCTGCTTCCCAGCGTGTCATTTCTCCTCAGATATTTCTCCTCAACACTCCTTACTACAGTATTTCTCCTCACTTTTTTCTCCTCAGAGGCCTGTCTTCTCCTCAGTTTGTGCTTCCCAATGTGTCATTTCTCACCTTATATTCCTTCTCAACACTCCTTACTACAGTATTTCTCCTCAGTTTTTTCTCCTCAGAGGTCTGTCTTCTAGTTTTTGCTTCACAACATGTCATTACTCCTCAGACACTTCTCTTCAATAATCCTTACTGCAGTATTTCTCCTCACTTTTTTCTCCTCAGAGGCCTGTCTTCTCCTCAGAATGTGCTTCCCAACATGTCATTTCTCCTCAGATATTTCTCCTCAACAAGAATTACTGCAGTATTTCTCCTCAAATTTTTCTCCTCAGAGGCCTGTCTTCTCCTCAGTTTGTGCTTCCCAATGTGTCATTCTCCAGCAGGAGAGCGAGTCTGGGTTGCGTCGTGGAGAGAGAAACCTCGTCCCCGGAGGAACGGGACCTGGTGACACCATCAGTGTGTCCTGACATGGAAGCCGCGTCTCCACCGTCCTCCTGATTCCAGTTCCCCAGACCCTTCCGGGGCACGTTCAAGCGCGAGGGCAGAGACGAGGCTCAGAGACAACCAGAAAGTCTCGGTGATGCTCATAAAGATCAGAGCATTTTCCTCCAAAGCTGGAATGAATGACGTGCAGAGGTGGAGTGAGCTCCGCACCTGCCACCCCACAGCCACCGTCACAGCAAGAGGGAAAAGCTGAGACAGTCACGCGAAGCTCAGGAATAAGACACGGACGTCACGGTCATGGGTGTCACTCAGCTCCGTCCCGGACGCCCCCCCCGAAGCTACTCGGAAAGAAAAGGCCACAGGGGTCGACACTGGACAAAGACAACACAAAAAAGGACATCACACGCCCAGAGCCCTCATGATCACTGATGGGAACATCCTCCCAACGTCCTCGCCAGCAGGACCCGACCTGCGTCCCCGGGACCGTCCCCAGGATCACGGGGACTCCTCCTGGGCCCGGGGCTGGTTCCTCATCCGAGAGAGCATCAGTGTATCCAACACGGCAACAAAGAGGAACACGGAACCCCAGGATCACATCAACAGACGCTGGAAAGCGCTCGACACAGTCCAACCCCCATGGGTGGTGCAGGCCCTGGACGCCCTCGGGGGAGGAACAGACCTTCACATGGTGAGAGCATCCGTGACCAGCCACCGCCTGTGGGATGCTCAGGGCGACACGCAGAGGCCCTTCCTGGGAGGTCGGGAGCGAGACAGGGACGTCCTCTCTCCCCTGCCCTTCAGGAAACTGGGGCTGAAGACCCGGGTCTGTGGGCGTCCAGCGGACACGATCCTCCGCGCAGGGAGAGCAAAAGCTCCCCGAGAGGCGACGGTCAGATCCTGAATGGCCCCGCGGAGGCGGGACGCAGGGTGAGCACAGCCCCCAGAGGCGCCACCCCGGGGCGCGCGTGAGTGGGAGGGGAGGGTCCAGCTCCGGTCACGGTCTCGCCCGAGGAGGAGATTCCCGGGAGCCAGCGGGCCAGGCGGGGAGGACAGTGCCGTGACCATGTCAGCCCGTCATGCACAGACACGCACAGGACAGAGAGACATGGACACGATCCTGTGGTCATGCGGGGGAAGATTCGTTTTACTGCAATGGCCATGGAGGCGTGTGTGTGCGTGGACTGCCCATCCGAGAACACAATCACCTTTCACAGGGAACAGATTCACAAAGGCTGCGAGGAGACAATCGAAGCTCGAGAAGGAAGAAGACACTAAAGGCCACACCCAGGGGAGAAAGAGCTGGACATTCCACATTCACGCGGAGGAGGGAGCTTGTCCCTGGACACATAACTGAAAATCCACAGACTCATGCGTCCCCGTGAAATACACCAGAACCTCACAGAAATGCAGCAAAGTTTGAATAAAGTTTATCCAAAACACACACGACACTGAGCAGCAACAGTCCTGGGAACGGGGAGTCTCTGCAGAGAAGGGTCCACCGGAGAGCTCTCGTTGCGGGTGCCCCCGTCACAGACGCCAGAGGTCAGGCCAGGAGACCCGGGACCCCCAGTGCTGACCAGGGGCCGTTCAGACAGGGAGTCGAGTCCGGCCGGGACAGAGACACACGCAGAGTCCTCAGACCCCCGTCCCTGCCAGCTGCCCAGGAGACTGTCCCCAGTGAGGGCTCAGCTCCTAGGCCTGGATCCAGGAACCCTGGCCAGGAGTCCCCACCGGCTTCCTGGGGGCCCCTGGGACCTGATGACGGGGGTGTGGACACCAGGGTGATCTGATCCCAGTGGGTCTCGGTACAGAACAGTGAATCAGTTGTTCTGACACAATTCAAAGGCAGAGACATTATTAAGCAGTCGGCATTGGGGGGAGTGACACCGGGCTGGACACGAGGAGGACAGAGGGATGGACACCCACCAGGAGAGGGCAGGGGTTGGCCTGGAGAGCAGGTCAAGGCTGAGTTTATGTCCCTGTCCATGTCCCCCCACAGCCATGAGCTGAGTCCAGGGCTGTGAGCTCAGAGCGCCCCCTGGTGGTGGGCCTGGGTGCTGCCCCCTCCTGTCCTGCAGGGTCTGGGTCTGGGCCACACCCGCCCCTCCCCGGTCCCCCAGTAATAGTAAGTAACAGACACCTGGACAGGTGAGGGTCTCGTCCCTGGGGAGGTCTCACCTGTGCAAAGACACAGTCACCTCCTCCTTGGGGTTCCCCAGGAATGTGGGGAGCGGGAGACTCTCAGAGGAGAGCAAGGGTGCCCTGGGGAGCTGGGGTCTTGATCTAATCTTATTTATGTTCATTTTTCCTTCTCCTGCCACTGGAGGACAGTCCCACAGACACTGTGAGACGTACGCTGGGGGTGTCGAGCCTTTACTTGGCTCCTTGATGCCTGCAGCCCTATGGACACGCTTGGTCATGGGAGGCACGTATGTGCCCAAGGACAGCGGCGTGGTTGGTGCCTGGAACAGGGTAATCACATGATCCTGTCTCCCTGGGAAGGGAAGGAATCCTCTGCTTTGCCACACAGGGTGGAACTGCGGCGACCGTCCCGCGGGAAACAGGCTGGAATTTGAAGGGCAAAGGCGGGAAGCCCCCCTCACGCGGGGTCCCAGAGAACCTGACAAAGTGTCACCCGAGCCCAGGCTTGGAGCACACACTTGACATCTCCTGCAGGACGAGGCCCCGTGGGGTGTCTGGAGGGGCGGGAGGGACTCTTGGACCGTGAGGGGTGCTGGCCCCGGCGCTGGCGGGTGCGGGAGGACACACGTGTCGAGGTGTGACGCTGTGGCCTCGGGCAGACACAGAGGTAAACGAGCTTCTGCTCCATCAACATGTAACTCTCCTGCGTCCACACAGAGTGATGACAGCCGACGTCATATCAGTGACTTCTCTGGTCACCACGGCACGAAACTGGGCATTTTCCACACACGCAAAGTCTGAAAACCTTTTCGTCTGTGGGGACCGCGGGAGGCACTCCTGGCCGAGGCCTGGTCCGTGGGGAGAGGAAACAAGGAAACATATTGTGCCACGAGAACAGGAGGATGCACTCGCGCCCTGCCAGGCCCGGGGGCCCAGGAGACACCACACACGGGCCGGACAGACAGGCAGGACACCCCACAGGCCAGAGAGGCTCAAATTAATAATCCGTCATCACAGCGAAGCAGCCACTCAAAAGTGAGCCATTGAAACCTAAATCCAGGAGAGGGAAGGAAATAATGAAAATTGGACTAGAAATAGGTGAAGCTCGGGCCTCCCTGGGGGTGCAAGGGGTGAGCCCGGCACTGGGAAGCTGTCTGCAGCCTCTGCGGCACGAGCTCCATGTCCAGGCGGCCAGGGAGCTCCCCACATGGTGACCAGACCTCTCCCGTCTCCCCGCGGCTGCCTCAGCAGTGTGTTTCAGCGGATCTGCCTCTTCTGCTCCCTGCTCTGTCTCTGGGGAGCCCTCTCACCCCTGAACCTCTGGCCTGCACCCCAGCTCTTGTATATATAAATAAATAAATCTTTTAAAAACAAGAAAAAACGAAGCTCCGGTGAAAGAGGCATCTCCAAGGAGCAGTCTGAGAAAAGCTGGGGATGGAGAAAGTCAGCCAAATGCACGCTCTCCTTTAAATGTGGAGGAGACTCTCGTGAGCAGCGTCAGGGAAGCGTGAGGAGAAGTGACATGAGCACCTGGACCACGGAGGGTCGGGGAGGCTCCGCGTGTGTCTGCACAGATTGGCGAGGCCGGAGGAAATGGACAGAATCCTAGAGTCACACACACGTCCAGGAGGGAGTCGGGAAGGTTAGACCCGAACAGAACAAGCCAGAGCATCGAGAGGGAATCAGCGTCTCCAGAGAACAAACAACAGGACGTGCAGGTCTTCCGAGCCAGCCTGGCAGAGCCTGCGGGGGCGCGTGTGCGGCCTCCTGCTCTCCGCAGGGACCCGGGGGGCCGCGCTGCAGGAGCAGGTCCAGAGGCCCCCGGGGTCCCGACCTGAGACAGACAAGGACGTCGCCCCGGCAGAGACACCGCAGACCCGCGTCCCGACCCCACAAACGCAGGAGCCTCCACACTGTCTGAGCAAACGGGGCTCTCACCCCGCGAAGACACCCGCGTCACACATCGGGGAGACGGGAAGGATCCTCGTGTGAGAAGCGAGGGTGACACTGCCCCTGTGGGCAGCAGACGTGGGGAGGGACACGGAGACCCCGACAGGCCCACGGAGACGGGGAGAAGCCGCGTCAGGGCCGTGACGTGCAGGTCCAGACCCCGCGTGTCTGTGGGGGGAGAGGGTTGAGGGTTTGGCGTGTGTGTGATCAGGTGATGTCTTTCTAGCTCTCGAGTTTTCAGGCAGTGATGATTATTGAGGATTAAATCTGCAGCACGTCCTGTCAGTTGTGCTGCTGATGCTGCTTGTGTCCTGATTTTCATATTTGCTTTTGTGGAACTGACAGTTTCCATTTGAAGAGTCTACAGTGTAGTCGTTTCCTGAACTGTGCTTTCTGGGGGCCCCACCTCAAGCTTGGTCCTCACTGAGGGAAATTGAAGTTTGGCCAGGTCGCCTCTCCGTGTTCCCATCTTTTGCCTTTTACGTTTGTCCACGAGGCATTTTGATTCCACTCGGGAGAGTGTTGCTCCGCCAGGGCTGACTTTTCTCAGGGCAAATCCAGGTGTCCCTTCGCCTTTTCCTCAAAACTCAGCGTGTGACCCACGGTGTGGCGTTTTCTTCTTTCTGTTTTAAAGATTCATTGATTTGTGCACCCAAGAGCTGGGGTGCAGGCCAGAGACGCGGGGGTGAGAGGATTCACAGAGGCACAGTGGGGACAACAGGCGGATCCCCCGAGACCCACGGCTGAGGGAGCCGCGGGGAGACGGGAGGGTCTGCCGCGCCCTGTGGGCAGCTCCCTGGCCGGGGATGGGCTCAGGCTGCAGAGGCTGCAGACGGCTGCCACTGCCCCCGTGCGCTCCGGAGACCACTGCAGTCTCTGTGAGGGCACAGTGTCCCCTGGACAGGACACAGAAAGACAATTGTCACTTCACAGGGGCAGAGAAGGCTTGGAAGAGGCCAAACCCTCCTGAGAGGAAGAGAAAATAAAGGCCTCCCCGGGAGACACAGAGCTGGAAACACCCTGAGTCAGCATGGAAGAGGGAACAGCGTCCGTGGGCACCGGACCCCAAAGTCTGCACTGTCCCCCGTTCCTGAAACACAGTGTCCTTCTTCACGGGACAGGAGCAAAGTTTCGTGAGGTTCAGCTGGAAACACACAAGACACTGAGCAGCCACAGTCCTGGGAACCCGGGAGACTCTGCAGAGAGAAGGGTCCACCCGAGAGCTCTCGTGGCGGGTGCCCCCGTCCCAGACACCAGAGGTCAGGCCAGGAGACCCGGGACCCCCAGTGCTGACCAGGGGCCTTTCAGTCAGGGAGTCCGGGTCCGGCCAGGACAGAGACACACGCAGGGTCTTCAGACCCCGTCCTCGCCAGCTCCCAGGATCCAGGACCCTTGGTGAGGAGTCCCCACCAGACTTCCTGGGCACCCTGGAACCTGGTGACAAGGGTGTGGTCACACAGTGATCTGATCCTCCTTGGGGCTCCCCAGGAATGTGGGGAGCGGGAGCCTCTCAGAGGAGAGCAATGGTGCCCTGGGAGCTGGGGTCTTGCAGAGGGAGCCCCAGACAGGAAGCCCCTGCCCCCACCCCTGCACCTGCTCCCGGCTGTGCTCTGAGCTCTGAGCCTCCTGGGCCTGCAGGTGTCCCTGGGCCCCTGGGGTCCTGACACGCCCCAGTGGACCCCCCAGCCGCCCCCGTCCTGCAGGGTTTGTGTCTGGGCTCACAACCCGCTCCCCTCACTGTGTCTCTCGCCACAGAAATACACGGCCGTGTCCTCGGGCCTCAGGCTGCTCATTTGCAGATACAGCGAGTTCTTGGCGTTGTCTCTGGAGATGGTGAATCGGCCCTTCACGGAGTCTGCGTAGCTTGTGCTGCCACCATCATAGCTAATTACTGCAACCCACTCAAGCCCCTTCCCTGGAGCCTGGCG